TCAGGACGGCTGTTGTAGAGGCTTCACACGGGGCACCTATGGATGAGGTGGTCATTCTAGCTTAGGAGTTGGGTGGGAACGGGGTGTCAGTTGCTCCTCTCAGGAATTCCGGGGGTAGAGAATTAATTCTCATCTGAGCTGTGGGTGGCCTGGGTTGGATGTCTGGGTGCCTGGGAGGCTCAAACTGTAGTGGGATGACCACAGGCTTGGTGTTACAAAGACCAGAATTCCAATCCTGATTCCACCTGCCAGCCTGGTGGCCCTGAGCAAGTTCCCAAGCATGGCCAAACCCCATCTCCTCCTCTGTAAAGTGGAGTAAATGCCAACCTTACAGTTGGCTGGGAGGCCTAGAGTGGTTATAAGACCCAGGCCATCGTAGGTGCTCAGTGAATTGTGTCTAGGACTTCATGGAATAGCGTCACAGATGGGCAGAGCTCACTGGCCCAAGCACCTCGTTTTACAGATAAGAATAGGAAGAGGAAAATGAATTCCCTGTGATCACTCAGTAAAGTAGCGAGAAATGAGACTGGGGTGCCTCCCAAAGAACCAGAGACCGACTTACTTGATTTGAGGGGGCCGGGGTCCAACCAGAGCTAGTCCTATTCCCAGGACACCGATGTGAGGACCTTGAGACAGGCCAGCTCCCTCTGACAGCCCCCTCTCTCTACCAGTCCTGACCCCGTCCTCGACCAGGATGGAGAATTCGACCTGGATGAGACCATAGATGTAGCCCGACACGTGGAGGAACTCCTACGCCGCCCGATGGACAGTCTGGACCCCCGCCTGTCCCCGCCAACCGGTCTTTTCACCTCTGCCAGAGGCTCACTCTCTTGAATATTTGAATCCTACACGTCTCTCTGGAAACAATACTCAATGTGAAGGGTTGCCATTAATTGCGATTTTAGTATTGCTGTGTATATTGATGCCTTTGCGGGCAGCACATGTACCCGTGCGTACGTGTGTGTGTTTGTGTACGAGGTGTGTCTGTCTCACATTCGCAGTCCTGGGTGGGCGGCTGCAGCAGCTGCAGCAGCCACCTTCTTCTTCAGAGCAAGGCATTCTGAGAGCCCTCTGAGTCTGTCTGTTTAGAAGACACGGAGCTGCTTCTGTCATGTCAGGTACTCAGTACAGGTAAAACTGTTCCTTGACCTGCTCAGTGGCTATCTGAAAATATTCAAGGAAGGGACTAGAGACAGGTAATGTCTCTTAGCTTAAGTTTTACTCCTGGGTTGAAGCTTCGCCGTGTGTGTGTGTATGTGTGTGTGTGTGCGTGCACGTGCATGCACACGCGTGTGCGCCTGTTCTCACACACATGTGTTGATCTATTGATTTTTCCCTCAGGAGGAGGTTGGGGTTCCCTGCTGAGTAATATTTTATACTTTATCTAATGAATATGGACTCCAGACTTCTTGTGAACTGAGAGCTTATCTAGGCCGTGGCCATGTCCCCAACACAGCAGAAATAGGTCATTTGAGTCGGGCCTGTCAAAGCTGCTCTGTGTGTAATTTCTTGACCTCTTGGCCACCAGCCAGGAGTGTGATGCGACTGCCCATCCTCCTGCTATCTCTTCCCACCCAATGTCCCCTCCCCTCCATCTGGCCCCAGCCTTCTTTCCTTGCCTCTCTTGCTTATAGGAAGGGTAGGAGAAGAGATGGTGGGTCTAGGACATGTGGGTGAACAGGGCACCCAGGACTTGCAGGGTTAATACCCTCCAATCCTGGGAAAAAAAACCTGCAGCAAGAGATAGCAGAAAATCAGCTGCTTGCTGCATGCCTGTGGAATCTGGAGTGAGGGGTGAAAGCTGATCTCTGCTTCCACTCTGCTGGGAGGTGGAACCTGGAAGAGGCCTCATCACAGTTGCATAACCGGCTGTGGTCTGAGAAGGCCTGGCTCCCAGCCTCACTCCCTCTCGGCCCTCTGAGGCTGTCTGGCACACACCCAAGGGCAGCTGACGGCAGGCGGGTGAGCACAGGAGAGCAGGGAGCCCCAGGCTCAAACCTCTCTGACGGCAGGTGGGGATGGGAAGAGGGAGTCTTTTGTACTTTGTACATAGGCCACACATTTGTGAAAACAGTGTTTTGGAATAAAATATTTTTTTCATAAAACTACCGGTGTGGCTCCTTGTTGGGGAGCCCTGGGTAACGGGGATCACTAGAGCTGGAAGCGTTTTGTTCCTTTCCTCCCGCCATGGCGGATGCTGTAATGTGTAGCCTGGGCTTCAGCTCTGCTCCCTCTTCTATGGTTTTAAGGGTGCCGACCCCCTGGAACGATGTCAGTGCTTCTCAGAAAACTAAAGAGCTAGGACTCGAGGTCTTGGGAAAAGATGGGGCAGGAATTAGTGGGGTAAAGGGGCGCAAGGAACAAGAAAATCTTTGGTCTGGCCTTTCCTTATCAGCTGCCACTATGAAGTTGACAGCTGAGGGCCAGGGCCAAAACGACTCAAGCCTCATCGGGCCAGGGTCGCCGGAGAGGCCCACAACAAGTCCCCTTCCCCTAGCCTCTTCCCAGGGACCAGAAGGTGGCACCATCCCACTGCCACTGGGTTTTCAAATGGTCAGCCTGAGACCAGGAGAGAGGCTGAGCAGAGAGCAGGATGGTCTCCCCATTTGGACCCTACTGGCACCTAGGTGCTGAGTCAAGGGGCTGTCACTGGGGTCCTTGGGGGGAAGAGGAGTAAGGACCTGCTGACAGGGTTTCTTTAGAGCTCAAAGGGAGGGAAGAGGGCCTCCCAGCCAGCCGGAGGCACAGGGGCCTAGAAGCGGGTGAAGGGAGTGGGTGGGTAGGGAATTTTTTTTCAGCCACGCCTGAGCCTGAGCCTTAATCTGAACACACTAATCTCCCTTCCATCTCTGCAGGGGAAGGAGGCTCGTGTCTCACACCCCGCTAGGCTCCTCCTGCCTCATACTCGCTAGGTTCCTATTCCTAGGCTCTGTGGTACTCAGCACAAGGGGAGGGGGCGGGGGAGAGCTGAGTGGGCGCTGATGGCTGTGAATTCTCACCACTGACTGCTAGCTGGAGCAGCAGCCAGTTAGTTGTTTAGTCGGTCGCCACTGAGTGAACCGAAGAGAAAGTGATAAGGGAGCAACCTTGGAAGGGGAGGCCGTGGGGGTGGGGTGGGAGTATCTCCATCCCAGCCCCCCTTAGTTTATCTGACTCCAGACAGGAGGCTCAGCTTGCAAAGGCCCCTGGAGGGAGGAGGGAGGAAGGAGGAAGGGAGTGGGAGAAGGGAGGTCTCCACAATGACACCTCTGTGCCTGAAGAGTATGACCCCCCACCCTGCTCCTCCAGGGACCCCTCACCTGGAGGCCACTGGCTAACATAAGATGGGCGGTACTCGATGCCCAAGAAGTGGGCCTGTGTCAAACTCAGGAATGAGGCTAAGGCGACCAGCCTAAGAGCAGGGGCCACCACCTCCTCTCCATGGGGAAGGCTCCCTCAGGACTGAAGCAGGGGAAAGGGGAACTTCCACTGGCCAGACACAGAGCTGCCACGCTATCAGACGGGTCCTATATAACTTTTATTTTTGAAAGTTCAAGTAGATACAGCAATATACAAAAAAAAAAAAAAACCCCCAATAATATAAATTTTTACACTATGAAGTAAGTATACATTGGAATTTGATGCAGAGGCCAGGACAGGAGATTACAAACCACGGTATAAGTAGGTTAAGTGATAGATGGGAACACCTTGGCTGGGCCGGAGTTGGAGAGGGGCAGACAATGGAGAGAAAGCGGCCAGGTCCTGGAGGACCTGGTTCTTCAAGGGAGCGGCCAGACCAAGTCTCAGCTCCTCTCAGAACTTTGTTACAATCAGAGTTAAACCCCAACACACGCGCTACCTCAAAGCCCCAAACTTTGCAATATCCTCTCCAGAGAAGCCCGGATCCTTGCCCCAGGTCCCTCTAACCTAAATCTTTTCTCAACTCATGAGTCAAGCTTATTATGAACAAAAGAGAGTTGCTGGAGAAGGGACAGCTCTGTACTACTTGTCAATCATTTCAAGTACTTGTCAATGAGGACAGGGGACAGGGATGGCCAAGGGCAACACTTGTTTGTCTTGGAGAGAAGATCCTCATCCTCGTAATTCAGAAAAGGGCTCATTTTGGTGTAACAAACGCATTCCATAGAAATTCTGGTCAACGGAGACAAGGTGGTTTTGGACCACCTACTGTTGCCAGGCCTCTGGGGCGGAGGAGGCCCCAATATCAGAGACCACGTCTCACCCTCCTCATTATTCCGAAGTACACGGTAAATTCGACCTGTTCGGCCTCATCTGTGGGGGCCCCAATGGGTAAGAGATAGTCACCAGTGCTGGGGGAGGCTGGGGGCACACGCCCTCGCACGGGGGATAGACTGAGTTTATCAGTAAGCCTTGGCCCCTGGCTTTACCAAGTGAAGAAATGATTACAGGTGCTGTGGGAAATCATCAAGAAACTGGAATAAGAACCATATTCCCTGAGCTCAACCAGACCCTTGGCTGGGGCTAAGTCATGGCTAAGTCACGTTCAACCTGTAACTCTCTCTCTCTTACACCAGGAGGTCCCGAGACCAAGATTCCTAAAGCAAACAGTACAAGGAACCTTTGGACACTGGAAGGAGCCATGTCTCAAGGGGGGGTCAGGTGAACTGGGGGAAGGAAGGAGAATCACCCCATCCCTCATAAGGCACCCACAGAACCACCTGGGCTCTGAAACAGGAGCGCAAGTTTAGGGGGAAAGGGAAGAGGGGTGGTAAGCGCCCCTATGCCCAGCCTTACCTACCAATAGGCCAACGCATAAAAGGGAAAATAAAAACTGTTTATAAAAAAAAGTCTAGAATGTTTAGGTTCTCCTTCAGCCTTCCTATTTCAAAACCAAAGTCCAAGCCACAGCTTCAGATGTCTTTTAAGGGTTGGATCTGAAGCCCATTGCAGGGTTTATATAAAGTATCAGCCTGAAGAAAGCTGAATGCTTAAAGCACCGAAGAGGCTATTAACTGGGTTTTCTTAAATACAGAAAAGGCTATGCTGACATGGTGTTCTTTGCCCTTTAATTTTTTTTTTTTTTTTTTTTTTAAATTTAAAAAGAAACCTAGGGGCTTTGAAAGTCCTATCTTCTATTTGGACGTTAGCAAGGTTAAAAGTGCAATGCCAGGGGTATGTAGCTAGAGGCAGCCTGTGGCATCAGCTTACAGAAATAGGCAGAGGGATGCCGCTGGCACCAGGAGGCACTTGTCTAACAACAACAAGCTGCTGAGAAAGGAGGGCAGGGGAGCGAGAGAAGACATTTCCTTTTTCTCCTTCTTGCCACCCCTTCTCCACATCCCCTGATCACAGTCTCAGAGAACACATTCTTATTTGCATTTAGGTAAAAGCATATCACCCACATTCATTCATTTCTCTATTTTAAAAAGTGCCCAGATTGCTCATAGATAGATAACAGAAGTAAGAGACTTAAAAAAATCTGGAACCACAAAGTGAGGAGTTCAGACGCTCTGGGGTTTGGCTGCTTAGGGTGGTGGAACACAGGAGGTGCCTCCGTCATGTCTCTCCGCAGATTCAGTCCTCGGCTCCTCACATGGGGGAGGTAGCACACTCTGAGGTCAGCTCCATGTCGAATGTGAGGGACTCTGGAGGGACAGACAAGGAGAGCTGGGTCAGTTGCCTGAGCCCTTCGGCCAGCAGGGCACACACTCCTAGCCCTCAGGCCACTGCTGCCATCCAGTCTCCCGCCCCTTACAGCCAAGACGAGCCTGGGTAATCCGGATTTACTCTCCTTCCTCTAGAGGCTTGCCCTACAGAAGGGCTCCGTCCCCTCCCTGCCTTAACTCATTCCCAACTCTTCATGTTTGGGAATGACTCTGGGCTGCCATGTTGAATGTGGCTACCAAACACTGGAAACGTGGCTAGTCCACACCGAGACGGGCTGGAGCTGCGAAACACTCAGTAGATCTCACACTCAGTACGGGAAAAACCTCATTTATTTTTTCATACGCGTTGAAATGATGGTATTTTGGATTTATTGGGTTAAATAAATTGTATCATTAAAATTAGCCTCACCTGCTTCTTCTCACTGTTTTTAATGTGGCTACAGGAAAATTTACATTTACACGTGTGGTGCACATCCCGTTTCTACTGGGGAGTTCTGCCCTAGAACCGCCTTCTACAACCCACGTGACCAGCTAGCTCGTGGCTCTGCACACGGGACATCGCGCGAGGGGGACTGAGTTCCCTCACAGGGACAAAGTCCGCCAACCAGATACTCACCAAACTGCCCTCCTGCTGAGGGTTCAGCACCTTCACCATTATTTCCAAACTGCATCAATGAATCTAAAGTGCGGGGGGACATCGGCAGGTCAATGGTATTGCTGCAGGTCGTTCTGTAGGAAATGGGGAGCAGTGGGAGGGGAAAGGGCCGGGTTGACAAGACACAATGGAGAAAAAAAAAAAAAAAAGAACAAAACACACACACACAAGCCATCAAACTCTGGTCTCCAACAGAAAAATAAAAGCTCAAGCTTTTTAAACACACAGGTCACTTTGAGTAGTGAACAGAGCCCAGGGCCTTCCAACCCTTTGCAGGATAACTCTCGCCCAGGGTCCCGTTCCCAGGGGTGACTGAGGACATCAGAAATGAAGGCAAAATTGGGAAGGGGAGCCACTTACGGTGTCACACAGATAAACTTGGTCTTCAGGTAGGGGGCAGCACCTGGGAAGAGGAAAACCGGGGCTTACTGATTGTGACCCCACCGTGGGTCCGGGGCAGGAGGAAGCCAGCTGCCTCACCAGGGCTGACTTGAAACTCAGCCCATCCTCCAGCAGAGACCGTGTTGAGCCTCATCTCCCTCCATGGCTACCGTCCCTCACTGTGTACTATCTGAGGTTCTAGGCGCTTCAACTTGGAAGGAAGTTCGATTCTTTCCATAAAGCTTTCCTTAACTGCAGAGACTTTTCAGCACCCCCTGGTCCCACCTGAGCCGAGATGAATGCCAGCCTTTCCCTGGACTGTGTACGTTTAACTGCCTGTATGTGGTCTAAAGGTTGTCTGCCGGCTGGGTCATATCTCTTAGATAACTTCTCTACATGCAGGAGTGGAGCTTCTACAGTCTGGGCACGGCATCCTGCTCAGATGCCAAGGTCACCAAGTCTTTAAGAGACTGTGAAGCCACTAATGCTTATGGTTCCAAAGCTGAGGGTTACACCTGCTATTCCGATTGGCACCAATCTGTGCCTATTACATTTTTAGGTGAGGGTATCAGTAACTTTCCAGTCGGATAGCTACATCACAAAAAAGCAGCCTCTCTACAAAGGGAAGACGTCTGTGGGGCAGTACAGCTGGCTCTGGACTGGAAAACGAGAGGCCTGGGCCTCCTTACGTGTTCAATAGCTAACAGACCTGGAACAAGGCGCTTTCTCATGTATAAAATAAGAGGGAGGGGAAGAGGGAAGTGCCTGTCTCTGCCATTTATAATTCTTGTTCTATGGTTAGTAATATGAGGATTGGAATTAATGAATTTTCTGTGCTAAATGCTTACACCAAGAGGTCAAGGAGTTTGGAGACATTGGCATAAAATCTGAGGAATTCAGGTGAACAGATGACGTAGGAGGCATGGGGCAGGG